AGCTGATCTGTTGTTGATCTTCTCTGCTGCTGCATTGCTAGTATCTGGCACAGTGCCTGGCATCTAGTAAGCACTCAACGCATCTACGCAACTGAATGAATGAATGAGCAATGAATTTAACTCCTTTACTCCACGAATGGCAAACTAAAGGCTCAAGGGCTGCATTTGGCATGCCAGTGAGGTTTGTTTGGCTTGCTCAGTTTTTGTAAAAATCGTGAATAAGTTGCCAACTTTTAAGAGTTAGAAGATTCCACATTTTTAAAAAATTTCAAAATTCAGGTTTCTTTTGAAATATTGGGAGAAGTGGAAATCCAGATCCTGCAATCCCAATTTGCAAGTCAGCAGAAGTGAGTAATGGCTCCCTGCTTTGGAAGAGGAGCATCAGACTGTCTCAGCCCCACCTGTACCCAGATCACTCATTCACATGCCCTGGCTGGCCCTGAAGGTGGTTTGGATTTTGGCCCCGTCTCTTCTACTGAAGCTTTCTCTGTGGCATGTGCTTTACACCACCCTCATGTAATTCCTATAAACCCTGCCCTAATGGGTTTGTAGGAATTTGCTGTTACACTAAATCTTGGACTATGTCTTTAGAGATGAATTAGCATCAGAACTTATTTTCTTATTATTTCTGCATTATAATACGGAAAGATTATATAATTATATACAAAAACTGAATTCATTACTCACTAGAAGAAAATCTAGGGGAGTGTTTATCTGATTTCAAGGTGGTAAAAGAAAATTATTAAATCATCAAAATATTAAAAGCCAATGAATCAGGAAGAAGTAGATATAACTAATATGATGGACAAAGTTATTATATTTAATCATAATAAAATTCAGTAAGAAAACAATGAACCCCAATAGAAGAAGGGATAAATACATTTTCAAGTAATTCACAGAAGAAATACAAATGATCAAAAGATAGTCCATTTTACTAGTAATCCAAACGATGTGAATCAAAACACATGATTTCCCTTTCATTTGTCATGCATTAATTTATTCAACAAACATTTGTGAAGTGATTGCTATGTTCCAAACACTATCGGTTTGGCAAAGATTTTTTCAAATGGTAATAATTTTAGGATTCAGTAAGGTAAGTACCGTCATAAACTGTGAAAAACAATTTAATAATATGCATCAAGAACCATAAAATAGTTACTACTCTGTGACCTGGTAATTAAACTTCTTCGAATTTATCCTAGGGAAATAATCAGTGTGACAGACAAAGATTAATGTATGAAGATGTTAATCATACCATAATTCATAATATCAAGTACGTTAGAAACCTAAATGTCTAACAATAAGGATTGATTAAACAAATTATGGTACATTCAAATGATGAACAATTATGTAGACATTAAAATTACATTTTCAAAGACCATTTAGTGATATGAGAAAATGCTCATAAAAAATTTTCAAGCCTGTATTTTGAAAAGAATTTTATATAACCAATTAAAGTGATCCATTCTTTCTGGCCTTATGATCCAAGAGTTATTTTTCCTTTCCACAGCTTGCTATCTAATACTTCTCATCCTGCAAAGCATATAACATTTCTCCATATATTTCTTACTCCAGGTAGGCATTAAATGAAGAGTCTTATACAGAAAGACAGAAATTGCTATGTGGGATCATAGAACAAATATGGCTTAACATATATTAAACATATACAAAGTAACGAACAGTGCTTCAGACTGTGGGCAGTGACTGTTTCTACAGATAGCAAGAATAAAGAGGAGAAGGAACAGGAAGAACCCAGAATATAAAAGAACAAGACTAGAGCAGAGAGATGGGGCAGAGAGGAATAGGATAACATGCAGAAGACAGAGGACACGTAGCTGAATTTTAAGGAAATTCTCAGCCTGACACCATAGTTATTAGAAGTTAAGAAATTCCCTTTTTGATGTATTTATAGTTTTATGTAGATCAGACAAGACACTTACAAGAAGCATTATTTGCTTCTTGTAACACCAACCACAGGAAGAGCCAAAAGGGATGTCATGGCAGAAAAAGCAGAACTACTTCACTACCATGAAAAGAATAACAACAAATACTGAAAGTCTGAGAGCACCAGAATAAACTGTCTGTGCAAAACATGATTATAGTAAAACAAGGAGGAAGTTGCATCTTGGTTTTGGAATTACTGAACCCTGCAAAGGCAGAAACTAATCTGCACGGTCATTGCATTTAGGAGCCAAATGATTCCATATCCACAATAAAAATAGTGAAACCTCGACTTGGTCAAACCCCTGTAGAACAACTACATGGCCACTTCTAAAGTAAAGCTTATGACCACTGCTCATTTGCATTTGTGCCTTGGTGTGGGAGCTATTTAGATAACAGTTTACAAGGAACTTGGTAACCATGGTTGGCCTCCCAAGAAGCCAAATATAATATCCCAGCCCAGAGAAAGCCAGAAGAGTCCCTTATAGAAAAATCAACAGAACACAGTGGGCTCTTTACTGTGAGAGCTGGTAATTTTTCATGAAAAATTGGTAGGAGGGAGTCACCCCATAAAGAACACATTTTATAAGGCGGCAAGGTAACAATTCTTGTGTCACTGCAGTAAAATAGACAATTGCTTAACTCTATGCTGTCAGTTACATACAACTGGCCCACATATTTTTTCATTCCTATATCCTCTTTGAGTTCTAAGAGGGACCCATATGGACTCTCGTTCCATATAAACTCTTACAATTTAATCACAAGGCTTAAAGTTTTTGGCAATTCAGAATTTCCTTCTTCCCTTTACTCAGCCTGATCTTTGTTCTCTCTCTCCCTGAAGGCTGGTTTTGTTTAAGTACCTCTATATTGTACCTTCGCTGCTCTGCAAACTACTGCTTTTCCAATATTTTGGTTTGGGGAAGTTAAAAAAAGCCTCTATATATCCACTCAAGCCATTTTCACATCCATTGTCTTCTCTGTTCCTTTCAGTAAGTTGTTTTTAACCCCTTGTTACCTTTTTAATACTTCTGAATTTCTGCTCCTTGGGTAATTCCACCCTCATCTTTAAATATATCTGTTCTCCTCTTCAAGCACTTTAACAAACTCAAATCCATCAGAATGCTGTCTTCATTTTTAACTTCCCTCATACACAGGCTACTTTATTATTATTATTTTTGTATCATCTTTCTATCTACGACCAACTCTTACATTCTTTATCCTCTCTCTCCTTTCTTCTCAACATGCAACTTAACCTTTTAAAAAATTTGTATCTTCTACTGTTATACTTAGTCTGGTTAAAACTGAACTGACCTCACATAAGTCTTTTCTTGACCTTGACTTTTTTAATTGTTACTCCTCATATACTGGTGATCTGAGATTGCTTTTTAAAACTTCTCCACGGATGTGGGGTGATTGCACCCAAACATCCGCCACTCTGCTGGTTACAGGGCAAGCTCAGCTGGTCTGGTTGCTTGCTCATTTCCCACTTGACAGCTTCACGGTCAGGCCTCGTTCACGGAGCCGCTCACGTGCACGGGGGGACGATCTCCCCAGACAGAGCAAGGCTAGCTTTCACTAAAGAAAACAGAAGTGACTCTATTCCCCTAATTCCTTCTTCTAAAACTTATTACTGCTCATTCTGCCCTAATCTTCCTTGGCTTTTCCCCTCCACAAAGCTCTTTGACTCTTTACATAAACTGTGTCACCGTGTTTCTGTGTTTGTTCTGATAGCCAACATGATTTTAATTCTCAGCCTGGGAGTTTTCTTTCCACTCACATTCAATCCCTAGTCATTTCTCTTCCAGCTTGACTCAATTCTTATCATGTGATTTCTCTTTCTCTCTAAAAGGACAGCTTTTCCACATTCCAATTCTCCATTTTTCTGCTTCCTTCAATGTGTCCTTTATCTTGGCTTTCAGTTCCCTAACCTCTAAAATGCCCTTTTGTCTTTCAAGCTATAGCTCATCTTCCCTTACCTCGTTCTGTTATATATTAAATACATGAGCTTTGATAGACTACGAGAAACCTTAAAATCTTCTCAATGAGCTAACTATATCCTAAAACAACAGCAGCTTGTTAATGTCTTTTAGAATCTAACTCCTTCCCGGAAGCTTTTGAAAAAATTATACCCAAGTTCACATACCTTAGATGGTGATATAAAAAGTAGAGAAGGGCACAAGAAAGCTCCAAAGAGCATCCTTTAAAAAGAAATCTACTCAGAATCTGACCTTATAACTACCAGTGTTTATTCAATCAACTGGGATGATTGGGGAAGCAGGAGAAGGAGAGAATGCCAGTGGGAGAAAATGGTGATAAAGGTAGATTGTGAACATCTACACAGTTTGAACTTTATTCTGTAAAAGTGAGGGAGCTATTACAGACAAAACCAAACTGGCAAATGTACATTTACAACTTTTTACCTGTAAACAAATCTGCATTAGAAGATGCAGATTTAAAGTTGCTCTTCATGTTAATGTTAATGGAATTAAACTTCCTGAATAACACTCATCAGGCACCTGTTTTTTTAACTTATAAAATGGAAACAATTCCTCCAAGAAAATTTAAAATACAGTCTCATCTTTGTTAGAAGTCCAGTGGAAATCAATTAGAGGCTGCCACTTTGAGGCTTCTGCAGAAAGCATGTCGATCTATAATTCATCAAGGAGGCCAGAGGCTGCCTGCCAGCTCTGTTCTGGTGCGACCTGAGGTACCCCTTCCTTCACGCTCCCTTCCCAGTAAGCCTCTCCTCCTCTCTCCTTTGAGACTTCTCTTTGTTGCTGTGGTTTGCCTGCTGCTCAGGCTCTGACATGTGCCTGCCTCCTTCCTCTTGGCCTGACAGTTTTGGGTGCTGAGTATCGTTTTCTTGTGGATTATCCCCCTAGCATTCCCTGGGGTGCACAATCAGGCATCCTGGGAGCTTGCTCCTCTCTTTAGCCCAAACCTAGGACAGCAAGTGCTGAATAAAGGAAGGAACCAGAACTTGAAAATACCACAAGTCATTGACGTAAAACATAATCAACAGGATGAGCAAAATAAAATAAAGATATAAAATGTGACACCTGATGGGCCAGAATATAGATATTGTGTCCAACATCTTTTGGAGAAACACCATCATCTCCACCCTCATCATCCCCATGATCACATTCCAATCCTTGGTTGTAGGCATTCTTCATCACATCCACCTAGTGACAAAAAAAAAACAAAAAAAACGAGGCTTGAAATGCCACAAACAATGTCCATTTTAACTTGTTTATGAAGTATAATTAAAAACTGGGAAGCGAAAAAAAAAAAAAAAAAACTGGGAAGCTTCATGAGACTCCAAAGTATAAGAGGATTCTAAATGAAAATGGCCTTGGAAACCATCTTTATTTAAATGAAGATAGAATTCTCCTACAATATTCCCCTTTCCCTTGGGAAATTTTGCTTTGATTTTTGAATGTCGATAATGCCAAAGTTCCCATGAATTAGGAGAATCTGGAACCCTGCTAAGCATCCATTATTTGTTAAGCGCCTACTAGGTAATGGGGAGACATGGTGCCAGATATTGTACGGGGCGCCGAGGATCTGGCAGTGGACAGGACAGAGTATCTACCCTCAAGGAATTTCCCACCCAGTGGGAGAATCAGCAGGTAAAGGGGCAAACACAACAGAGGTCGTCAGTCCTGCAGTAGGGCTAAGTGTGAGGCTCCCAGGGAGCCCAGAACAGCTGCACCTAACTCAGGACAGAGGCTGAGGGTGGGGCACAAGGAGGAAGTGGACGATGAGATAACGTGTTGTCTGCAGAGCAAACAGCATGTTCAAAAGGCAATTGTGCAATGCTGCTGTTGAATAGATATACAATTCATTTCCCTGTTTAACCATAGGATAGGACATCTGTTGCTCCTCTCAACCCACTGCCTGCAGATCTAGGCTCTCATTAGACATAAATTAAACTGCATCTTATCTCTCTCCTTACTGTCTTCCTGGAGTCCATTCTTTACCAGTAAAGTGAGAGCAAGAGAGTATGGTGCCAGCCTTCCATGGGATTTCCCAATAGCACCAACAATGGCGAGTGGGAATTAGTTTATCGGGGCACTGAGCTATGCGGTTTGAGTATGTTCTCAATGCTTTTGAAATCCAATGCTTTTAAAACATGCCTGCATTCCCTTGAAATTTGCATGTTACGAGTGGGAAAGAAAATATAACTTCTACGACAGGAAGACCCACTAATGATCTCTGTGGAATCTCCATCAAGGCTCTGCACAATTTCCTCTAGGCCAAGCATTGTACAACATTCCTCTGAAAGAATAATTATAAACACTGGTTTTATTTTTCAGAAAGAGGTCTAAATAAAATTTTTGAGGGGTACAAACTTTTTTTTTTTACATACCGTCCTCGTATATGCCAATAAACTATTAATATTAAACTAAAGCCAACTTTCTTTTTTTCTGACAAAACACACTTGCATATAGTTTAGGACACTGACAATTTGGTTAAGAAAAGTGCTTGAAGTGGATACAATTACTGAAGCCATAAGGCGCCTTTGCCATCACAGGGCCTTCTGAAGTATTCGTGATGCCAGGTCATGATGTTCCATTACACCTTGGGAGAGCAGTGAAAGTCGCTGGACTTTTTTTCTGACATGCATACTGTAAAATTGTCCCTTTCAGGCTACACACTATTAACACAGCTTTTAAAAGTTTTCTTACCAGTTCCCTGGGTCTCATGTTAAAAAGAATTCTTTCTGCATTCTCGCTGTCATGTCTGCTTTCCATAATGGCCAGCAAAAGCTTGGAGGCGTTGTTCTGCAGACACAGATTGAGTTAATGCGCGTGCAAAGTCTATTTCATGGATTCACGATCCCCTGCATTTGTTTTAATTGAGATTACCAGGGCTATTTTTTTTTAATCAAACAGAATTTAAAACTGCTAATTTCTTTTGTCTTTTAAGATTTTAAAACAGAATGTTTTACTTCATTGTCAACACAAAATAAATGAATCATGAGAGACGTGTTACAAGGGATATTTTAAATATTGGTGAAAAGGTGCTTTAAATGCAATGTTGACTTACTATATACTACACTAAAGTATAATCATATTTTTCTTCACTATTTCCTAAATAGGCATTTCTATGGTGACATTTTAACAAGAAAATAAGGTGAACAAGTAAGTATTAATGACATATTTTACAGAAATAGTATATTATTTAAAGAATGTAGCAAAATTGTTTTTAAGATGAAATATATATATTAGAAAATCTAAATTTTAAATCTGAGCAATAATTAGAATTAATCTAAATTTATGAGTCAGAAATATAATATAAATTTATAGTATATATGCAACATGTTTACCATCTGGGTTGTAGAAGAATATTTTCTATTTTTGTTTGCTAGAGGATGAAAATAGCTTATGTTGTCTTTGATGTGTTCTAGTTTGGTATATAAATATGCTGTCTCAAATATTTTCACCTATAGATATAAAAAATGTTTCTGATACAATTTATAATCCAAAATAGGTACCACAGAGTCATAGAAAGTCTTGCCACAGAAAGCACAATACCCCAAACATTTTGAAAGATGTTTCTTTACACTGTGTTTTTAATAGCAATGTCATAGAAATTTGTCAAGTTGCAAGATAATAAATTATATCCAGAAGATATTTCTACAGTGTTTTTATAATATTCATTTAGATAAAAATCTTAACCTCCACATACAATCTTTGATATGAGTACAAAAGAAGTTAAGGCAAATGGCTTTAAGATACTTTTAGTGACTCAAAGTTAACATCTTATAGAATAAAAAATTATATTGAATCAATGTTCAATCTAGGTAGATAATCACACAAATTTTGTTAAGGTTGTGCAAATTAATTCTACTGCATAGACTTAATACCAAATTCTACCCAACTATTTTTTCTCTCAGAAGTACAGCCTAAAGATCATCTTAAGCAAGTGATATTCACAACAATGATGATGAAGATGATGATTATGACACCAATGTCACTAACCCATCATGAAAAGATTTTAGTACTTTAGGGTAGGGGAAAGTATTATCTTTTTCTGTTCTATTTTTATTTTTTGCAGATTTGTACCAATCTCAAAATCCACTTCTATAATCTAGTATCTCATATAAACAACATACCAAAAAAATAAGGTTCAGTGTTAGTGGAGAGCTTAAATCCTTACAGTGATCTGAACAGATCTCCACAGATTTCCAAGCTAAAACCTTGGCAACACTAACAGCGCTCTCTAATGAGCCATGCTCAGTAGGCCCAATACGTGATAGCTTAAAAATACATCC